ATAAATTTTTCTTTTTCCGTAAACCCTCACGAAAAACTAATAAAAAAAGTTCCAGTTAATATTTTTCAAGGAGAAATTATAACTCGACCAAAAGAAGAGTTCGATTACAATATCAAATACAAAAAAGGCAAACAAAATCAAGCAGCCGATGCGTTATCAAGAATACCAATAAATAATCAAGAGTTAAACGCCTTAGAGACAGAATCAATCGATAATAACCCAGGAGATAATGACGAAATAATAGTATCAAATTATATACAGAAACATAAAGAACAAGCTGAAGATCTTTATAGAAATATTCAAAGTATAAACGCAAGAACTAAGGAATTAATTATAACAAAAAGAAATGAGAAAAGACAAGATCCACCTGAATTCCTTAAATCAGATGTAGTTTATATAAAAACGAAAGCTAGAGGAAAAGATCAACCTAAATTTAAAAAGGCAACAATCGAAAAAGAAGATCAAATCAAATTAATAACAAATAAAGGAACATATCATAAAAGCCTAGCTAGAAAACCTAAGGTAAAGAAAAAATCAAATTTTCAGGAAAACAACGATGAAGAAGATCCAGATCCTGCTGATATTCCTGGTACTTCACACGAAGACAATTCTGTCACAGGACATCGAACTTAAAACTATACAAAACCCTATTTTGCCTATGCAACTAGGAACCTCTAAGTTAGTTTATTCTAAGCACACATTTTTACATTATATAGATATAAACCCTATTATTAATCAATTAATTAATATAGAACAATGCTTTTCGCTTATTAAAAATCATGTAAATAAAGAAAACGTTACTAACCATATGTCATATTATGGATTATCAGAAAGTACTTTATTAAGAACGCAATTCTTGATCGATTCAACACAAAATAAATTAAAGAATCTTTATCCGCACATTAGGACAAAGCGTGGATTAGTAAATATTGTAGGAAAAACCTCTAAATGGCTTTTCGGTACACTAGATTCTGAAGACGGACAAAAATATCAAAATGCTATAAATAAGCTAGAACAAAATCAAAAAGGCTTAATAAACGAAGCTAATTTACAAATTTCCTTATCGAAAAACTTAATAAATAATTATAATAAAACAATTGTTTCTCTAACTACAAATCAGCAAAAATTAGAAAAAAGTCTGAAACTATTCCAACAAACAGTTGATAAAACTATATCAAATCTAAATGCATACTTGAATTTTCAAGGCATTGTTTCGCAACTTAATCTAGACTGCCAGAGTCTGATTACTTTTCTCGATAATCTCGAAGACGCGATTATGTTTGCAAAGTTGAACGCCTTACATAACGTTATCATATCAAGCTACGAGTTAAATGAACTATTAAATTACTTAAGAAAAATTTATAAAAATAACGAAGTTCCAAATTTTAAAAATATATTAACCTATTATCAGTTATTGGGTACACAGGTAACATTTTCTGAAAATAAATTAATTTTCGCTATACACGTTCCTATAATTAGATCTAAGGAATACACCTTTTACCACCTATACCCAATTATCCTAAATCAAAATATTTTCATTCCCAAATACCCATTCCTGGCACAAGAAGACCAGTCATACCAATTTGAGGAAGAAGCATGTCCATTCCTGGAAGAAAAATACTTCTGTCAAGAAAACTTCCATGCACGAGACGAATGCACTATCCAACTACTGTCGGAAACTTCAACTGTTCAACGATCCACATCGACATAAAAGAATCCGTCATTGAACAAATCACACAAAAAGAAGTTCTACTCTTGCCAGCCAAAGAAGAACGAATATATGCGCAATGCAGAATCAATCAATACATCAATGTTAAGAAACCAACTTTAATAAATATTCCATCCGAATGCCAAGTGACCATCGATTCAAGAACATATAGAAACGATGTTCAACTAAGAGAAGGAAAACCTTTAATCCTGCCTGAGGTACAACTAGAAAATCTTGAAAAACCAAAGTCCAAATTCGAATATATTGCTCCGAAGCTATCGAAAATCAACTTCGACGATATATACGAGATAAAAGAAAAATTCAATGAACTATCACCGATCAAAGAAGACGAAGAAAGAACCTATCAACCAGTCATCTTCGATATTGCGATTATTTTCATTTGTCTAATAATTGCAATATACCTAGTGTTCAGAAAATACCCACAACTCAAGAAGTACTTTCCATGTTTAAAGAAGAAAGAAGAACAGCATGTTCCAGTCCCACAGAAGAGGACCCCCGAAAATAACTCCGTTATTTTCTTGTCTTAACAGGGGAGGAGTTATATGTATAAATAAGTGTTATTTCATTGTAATTAAATACTGAATGCCTATTTTACATTATGTCACATATAAAAGCGAACTGCACGGTTCAAAGCAGACTTTTCACTCTCTGTACTTTGTCGAGAACGTTTGTAACAATAAAATCGTTTTTTAAAAACAACTCTGTTAATTCAGACCTCAAAACTGGCTTTAGTTAGTTAGGGATAGTATGTCTATATATTTTGCATTTTTTTTTATTAATATTCTGTTGTTACACTGCAATAATACTTGTTATTTTGGATGTAGGAAAATGATTTTTAATGTTTTTAAGCAAAGACTGGTTTAATAAAAATAATAGTAATAATTTGTTAACAGTAATAATTTGTTATACCTATTAACAACAAAATTTAAAATAATTTAATATAAACATTTTTTTACGTAGTAGCAAAATATAAACAACAAATTAGATGTCAAAATTATTTATATTAGATCCTATTTATAAATAATATAGTCTTTAAATTTTTTGGCAACGTTGGTTTATTAAATAATAATAATTACAGAACTAATTTGTTATATTAACAACAAACTTTAAAATCATGAAATATAAACATTTATTAATTTTTTAAGCATGCAGTGTAATGGAAGGAAAATATAAATAAAAAATTAGAAATCAAAATTATTTATATTAGGTACTTTATATTACTATTTAAAAATAATATTTATTTTTACTGGCATTTACTTTAAAAAATAAATGAAATATTTCTTCGCAAAAAACTACATGTAAGAGAATTAGCATAAACAAAATACAAACATCGTTAACTTTTTTTTAAATTGGCACTTTCAATTTAATTTTCACACCTCATAGTTTGAGTTCGATAACCATTTACTTAACCACATTACTTAAATATGATTATTAAGTTCAACTAATTCATATTATTAAAACATCTAAAATACAAATATGTATTTTTAAAATTAATTATAAGTTCATCTCATCTCTCTTAAAAATTGCTACTTCTCAAAATTTCCTATTAAAAAATAGACCATATATACCATATAAAATAAAATAATTGAAAGATCGGGCTACGGAAAATCACACAAATTTTCGGAAAAATTTTGACACCAGCACACGCACACAATCGTCAATTAAAAAAAACTACTATTTTAGTATTTTAAATATTTCAATAAACGCAAAAATAGCATAGTATTTATAAGGTGAAGTTATAAAAATTTGGAAGAACTAGTAATGAACTGACGTACACAAAAATCAAACGAATAGTAAATTTCATTTATCAAAAGCATTCGATAGTCGTGACTCAACGATAACCATTTAGTTGCACGGCGAGGTTGTCACATATGCTTTAGTATACAAGTGAATGAATGATTTTATTCGAATAAAACCATTCGATAGTTGAAATCATTCATTCAGTAACCATTCGATAGTCTAATTCATTCGATAGTTCCCATCACTAATAATAGGCATTAATTAGGTTTGTGTGTTTTTTTTTCAATTCCTCCATTGAATATAATTAAACATTTTCTTTTAATTAAATACAAAGTCTGGATAACAAAGAAATAAATTCCAGCTCTCTTTTTAAATCGAGAAAAAATGTGTCTAATCTAATCTGTATTGACTCTCTCCGTGTTCTTTCAAACAACTCAATCGGCCCTAGCCGCAATCTCGGCCAGACATTTTATCTGTCATCGAAACACCATTTCCCTAAATTTCGAAAATGTCCGACATGTCGGTAAAATGTTAATAAAAAGAGCTTTTTCACCTCCTTTATCTGGAATTTCTGTTTTTTCAGCGCTTTTTCGAAGATCCTCGTCTTAGGTAGCTGTCTAATTAGAAACGAACCGTTGTCGTCAGAGCCGGCTTGTTCTAGGGAAAAAAAACGTCGGTCTAGGCCCTTTTTTCTCACCGTTTTCAGATAAAATATGTCGTTTTGGGGGCGTCTAGGCCCAACCTGCGCGACATAAATAGATTTAATAATCTGACACTCCGAGGTTTTTTTTAATGTTAAGAAGTCATTGGTGGAGAGGGAAAATATTGTTTGAGCCAGGGTTATTTTTTCAAAACAAATTATTTAAAATTGTTTAAAACTGTTAAACACATTTTTAAAACTTTGTTTTAAACTGTTTCTTTCAGTTATTTAATTACAAATCAACATCTCTAATACATTCGGAATAAAAAAACAAAATAATCCAGAGAAAAAAAATCATTCAACTAAGTATAATAGAAAAAATGTTTCTAACTCTGATAACAGAAATAAAAAAAAAACATGGTACTTAATTATTTAAATTTATTATTTTGTGCCATAACTATAGAACTTCTTTTAGTGCGAAGTGTACAAGATAGCTTAATAGCCGTTGCAAAAAATTCATCGCAACCTTATTAGAATATTTTAAACCCCTAATTTAAAAATGTATTTTTCACCCTCTTGGAATTTGAGATTCGAGAAACCCCTCCTTATCGAACCTCTACACCCCACAGTCAATCCGTCTGCCAAAAATTAGCTTTAATCGTCAAGCAGTTTAAGCAGAATCGTGATTACTCAATGGTCATATTTTATGAAACACCCTTTATAAATTTTTAAATAAAACGCGCAAAACTAAATGATAATTTATCAGAAAGTGAAGATGAACCTGATGTAGATAACAACCAAACTTCTGTGCAAGATAATGCAGCTAAATTAAACGAGACTTCGTCAGAAAGTGAAAATGAACTTAACAATGAAAATCCTACGCCAATGGATATGGATGCCGTGAATAAAAAATGTTCCATAAATTATTCTTGGTGTGATCCAGAAGATATAAACTTTGTTCCACGTAAGATTATTCCTGAGCAGAGTGCAGTTTGCGTTCCCCTTATATCCTGCAACAGATTTTCGACAGAATTAGACGTATTTCTAAAGCTAATGCCCCGCAATTTTGTTATTTTTATTTTGAGGCAAAATTCTAAAAATAAGATTATACAACAAACTGATCCTTCAGAACTCATGATTGTTTTGGGTTGTATGCTAGTTATGACCTACAATCGTTTACCCGAAATGCATGATTACTGGGCTTCAAACAAGTCTCTAGGAAATGCAGCTATAAAATCAGCAATTTCGAGGGATATATTCTTGCTCCTTCACTCCAAATTATATTTCAACTATCCAGAAAAACTCAAAGATGCAAATAAAATATACTACATTGAAGAGTTAGTTTCATGCTTGAAACATACGTTTCAAAAATCGAGGACCGAAAGCACCCACCAATCGATTGATGAGTCGATGACGAAATTTAAAGGACGGTCAAGTTTAAAACAATACTTACCCCTAAAGCCTATAAAAAGGGAGATTAAAATTTGGCAAAGGTGCGATTCAGTATCTGGATATGTATATGACTTCAACATTTATCAACGAAGAGAATCCGACGCCATGGCAGATAAGCCGCTATGTGAACCACGCCGATGTGTACCACCGATGTGAACCACATACTACGTTGTGTTTCGACAGGTTTTTTACATCTGTATGCAATTATTACATGATCTTCCATTCGCTGCAGTGGGAACATGTATAGCCAATCGAAAAAAATTGCCCACGCTTGTAAAAGGACTGAAAAATCGTGGGGATCATAAATTTCACTGCAGTACGTCTGGTCTATTAGTATCTCAATGGAAAGATACAAAGGAAGTTCTGGCCGTGTCCAATTGTCACCGTCCAGAAGTTGTTAACATAAAAAGAAAGAAAAAGGATGGTAGCCAATTGAATGTAAATTGTCCAACATCAATAGCATTTTATAACAAATATATGGGAGGGGTCGACCTATCAGATCAATTGGTAGGAACATATGATTTAGACCGAAAATCATGTAAATGGTGGAAAAGGTATTTTACGTGCTCTTAACAACTGTTGTAAATTCACATATATTGTATAAAATATGTAATACTAAATCATTGACTCTAAAAAATTCTGCGTATGGCACTAGCGGAACAACTTATAGCTGAAGGCAGAAAACATGCACAAAATAAAAGGAAGAAGCCGTATGGAAGACCATCAGTATCATCGGCAAGTGTAAAGAACGTTGGCGATCACCTGCCAATACAAGGAGATACAAGAAGAAGATGCCATCGATGCTATAAAAATAAAAAAGAAAAGCGAACAAAAATGTATTGTAGTGAATGCAACATTGCATTATGCATTAATTGTTTTAGTATTTTTTACCAATAATAATATAAAAGTTGGTAATTCAAATTAGGTACTATTTTTCAATAATAAAGTTTATTTTTCAAGAATATGTGTTGTGTTCTTAATTACTAAGGGGCCATATGTGTCCCACAGTTAATTACTGGTGGGACCCATATGTCCCAAGGGGGTAGTTTCCGAAATGGTAAGGGTTGAATTTTGATACTTGCCTATATTATTAAAAATATCATATAAAGTCGAAATACATTTAAATTTAGTTAAATATTTTAATAGCGAAAAGTCGGTGCGAAAGGGTTAAGCAGGATCGTGATTAATCAATGACCAGATTTTTTGAAACTCCCTGTATAAATTTTTTAAAAATCTTGAAATATGTAAAAAACAAAATAAAATATACGTGTTTCAGCGCTTTTTCGGAAACTTGGCCGTTTTTTAAATAAAAAATATTGTAATATTTGAGGGGTAGTTTCACCCCCTTGGAAATGGAATTTCGAAAAATCCCTTCTTATCGAACCTCTACACCCTAGAATGAACCTGTATGCAAAAATTAAGCTTCTTACATTGAGTGGTTTGAGCAGGATCGTGATTAATCAGTGAGTCAGTCACTTAAGGATTTTATAATTATTATTATTAGTATAGATTTATTTTTGTTTCCTAAAATATTTTGATTAAAAGAAAATATGTAAAAGTGGGCAACGCTGTACCGGCCAACCTTAATCACGTGACTAAAGGTTTATTTGGTATGATCTATATTTCAGGTTTCCTACTATATTTAAAAGCAATATTATTTACTAAACAATTTTAATAGGCGCGCCCATGGATTTTATTCACAACATGTGGTCGTCCCGTGAGTGTGAAATCTTTTTTACCACTCCAGATGACAAACGTTTTAAAACAACGATAAGGTCACAATATTTGACTGATCTCTGATAAAAGTCATTTTTTGTGCGTATCAGCTGTCTTACCTGTCTTTTAAAAAATCGTTTAACCAACCGAAAAAAACGCTTTTTAATTTATAATCCTTTAAAGTTTTGTTCTATTTTTTACCTGGTTTCAACAGCGCCATATGAATGAAAGGGTACTACTATTAAAGAAGTTACTATTTATAAATAGGTAAGTTCTTAGTTTTAGTGTATAAAAAAATCTTTAAAAGTGTTTCGTATATGTGTTAGCTTTGGAAAGATTGATTTTTATCTCTGGAGTTGCTTTTAAGCGTCCGTAGTTTATGTCGGAGCCGTTTTTTTTTACATTAAGGAAGCAGTTTATTGAAAAGAATGGAATTCCTAAGTTGTAAACAGCTTTTAATGATATATAGTGTAGAGTAAGATGAAAGAGTGAATGCTATATTAAGGGGCGTCCAGACCAGATGAGTGAGCAGTAACGGGCGCGAGCAAACATTTATTCAATTTCGCTCGTCATTTCTACTGCTCTCGAGCACATGAGCAGCATCCGTCCAGACCTAGCGATTATTTGTATGTTTAGCGTTGATCGGTGTATGGCACTTCATGTTCGTAATGTCGGAAAAAATTATTGCTTGTGCGTCTTTCATTGTATTTTATAAATTGTTGAAATGTCAAAAGAGAAAACGACTGCAGATGAGATGGTGGAACATAACTCACTTTTTAAAAATCGAGTTTCTCATGGTGGTAACAATTTACTAAACGATGTTGAAACAGAAGATTCTGGAAAATTTAAGAACCTTTGTCGGGTGTCACTTACAGATTTTAAGACCTTATTAGATTTAATTGACATAAAAATTATCCATTTTTGATATTCGATCTCAAACTTGGTAAACAAAATTCCGTCCAAACCGAACGTGCAATAGAGCGAATTTCCTTTGATGTACCGACACGGTGTGGAACAGCGTCGAGCGCGAACAAGCAATCATTCGCTCGCTCGCAGAGCCGTCCACACCAGTTAAGCATTCCCATAGAACAAACCCGAATTCTTGCTCGCTCCTGTTCCCTCACCCGGTCTGGACGTCCCTTTAGAAGTAAATTTAAATAGCTTTACTTAAGTTTCCGGATCAAGAAAAACATCTACTACTAGTTAGCTCTATTTTTCTATTCAACATATTAATCAAGATAATGTGTTAATAATATACATAAATTTAGTATAATATACCTACTGCCATTTGCTTTCTTCATCTTATAGTACCATCTTCTAATGAAGGTTGGCAACAATCGCGGCGAAACACTGTCTGTCCTGTGCAGCTCGAAACAGTTCGTGTGAGTTCAGTCCAGGCCCGTCTCGTAAGTTTTTCAACCAAGAGTGCTTGCGTCTCCCAAGTCCTCTTCTGCCTTTTACCTTTCCTTCTATAATCAACTTCAGAAGCTTTGCTCTACTATTGCGCGTCTCGTTTTTTTATATCTGCAAGCAATTCCTTTTCCTTGTTAAGCCTCCCAAGAACCTCTTCATTGCGTACATGATCTGCCCAGGATATTTTAAAGAGTCTTCTGTAGATCCAGATTTCAAAAGCTTCCAACCGTCTCATGGTGTTCATTTTAATCGTCCATGTCTCACAACCGTATATAAGAGGATTGAGTATATATAACAATGGACAAAACGCAGACGAATGTTGATGTTGAGTGACCGGTTACATAATAGGTTTCTCATTTTGTTAAACATTGATCTAGCCTGTTCTACACGCGATGTAACATCTAAGTCGGGGTTAAGGCAGAGAAATAGAAGGGATAGAGAATGAGCGTCAACATGCGCAGAAGGTCTAATCAAGTTGGGCGCCATATTCCAGGTCTTCGTGTCATTTTGTATATAGGTGGTAATCTATAAGTAATCAAATATCAATTTGCTGTTTTCAATCATACGGGGGGCAATTTAAATTTAGTGAAATTCTATCATTTATTATGGTTAGTTAACATTAATATGATTTATTTAATTATCAGTTTCAAAACTGCGTACAATATTGGTATATAATACAAATACACTAAGGTAAATGTACCAGTAATTGACGCTGAACCGGTAATTGACACTTTATACTTTATGCCACAAAAATAAGAAATCCTTTGTGCGTAAATCGTTCAAATATAAGTCAGTGGCCTCGTGCGCCATCTATGAATCAGATGATAAAATTATAATTTTGGGATTCACCAATTCCAATATGGCAGCGGGTTCTTTTCACACATGTACGTGCTGAACTGAGTGTTATAGCTTTTTCTTGCTAAAAGTGATAAGAAAGTAAGTTTTTATAACATTTATTTTGTTTAAATTTTATATCATGTGTTTAAGTTTTAGTAGACTTATAGGCATTAGAAATATATGAAATATAAGATATTTACTACTGTAGTTCAATTTGTTGGTATTCAAATAGCTTTAAATAAAGTGTCAACTACTGGTACAAATATTTCTAGGGTGTACCGGTAGTTGACAGTATTGTCAACTACTGGATCTAAGGCAGTTGGCTTTGTTTTGTGATCATTTTGATTAGTTATGTTTGCCATAACATGCAAAATAGGTTTGAAATGTCTTAAATGGCTCGTACCAGTAGTTGACATAGTGTCAACTACTACATCAAGTAGGTGTCAATTACTGGTTCTCTTGCAGGTGTCACCATGCCTCCAATTAAAGGAAAAATGTTGTCTTACCCTGAAGAACAAATGGAGGCGGCTATAGCGGCTGTATCAGCAGGAGAGGCTGTTGCAAGAGCAGCGAAGACTTACAACGTTCCACGTGCTACATTAACTTATAAAATTAAAGGCATTACACCACGGGAACGAAGAATGGGTCCTAATCCAATTTTAAGAGAAGACGAAGAAAAGGTTCTGGTAACGTGGATATTTTCAATGGCAAAAGCGGGATTTCCTATTGGAAAAGACACGTTACTTGATAGTGTTCAGCACTTAATAATAGATTTAAAACGTACTAACCCTTTCACCAACAACAGACCAGGTCGAAAATGGTACGAAAGTTTTCTTAGACGACATCCAGAAGTAGCTAAGCGGACTGCTCAAAATCTTACGATTAGTAGATCCTCAGTGACGAAGGAGCATTTACAAGCATGGTTTAAGGAAGTACGCATCTATCTCGACACAAACGGATACAGCTCTATTTTAGAAGATCCCTCGAGAGTGTTCAATAGCGACGAAACTGCTTTTTTCTTAAACCCAAAGGGAGGAAAAGTGCTAGCTCCAAAAGGTGACAAATCTGTTTACCAGCAAGTCAACAGCGATGAAAAGGAATGCTTGACCGTTCTTGTAACGGGTAACGCTGCTGGACAAATACCTCCACCTATGGTTGTATTTAGGTATGACCGGATTCCAAAGGAAATTGCTATGAGTATTCCTGAGAATTGGGGGATAGGAAAATCTGAATCCGGGTGGATGACCGGAGAAACATTCTTCGAGTTTATTACAAATATTTTTCATCCTTGGCTACTAGGCAACAATATCACATTACCTATAATTCTTTTTATTGACGGACATGCGTCACACCTAAATCTTCATACTAGCAGGTTTTGTGCAGATAACGGCATAATACTTACAGCACTCTTTCCAAATGCAACACATTTGATCCAACCGATGGATCTAGCAGTTTTTAGAACACTCAAAGAGGGATGGAAAACTAAGGTACAACAATGGCGTATAGATAATCACGAGTCGCCTGTATTAAAAAAAGTCCATTTCTGTCCTTTGTTAAATACGTTACTACAAGAAAGGTTAACTCCTTCAATACTTCAAAACGGATTCAGAAAATGTGGGCTGGTACCTTGGAATCCCCAGGAAGTTACCTTACCACTTGTAGCAGGCAAGATAGAATCGAATATTAAACACCGTGCCACCACTTCAAAAAATATTGATGAACTAAAGCAAGGTTTACAATTTTTGGAGAAATTATTCTAAAGAATTAGAATATCGATATAAAGAGGGAGACTACGTATTAGTGGAGTTTCCAGGGGGAAAAAGAATGCACAAATATGTCTGTATTCAAGAAGTTTTATCAAAGACGGAAGCTGAAGTTGTGGCAATGGTTTGCTGCAATAAAGAAAAAACGTCCTTCAAGCTAAATGCAGATGACATAAGTGTCATTAAATTTAAGCAAATATTAGAACAGCTCGATTTTCCTAATATGATGGCAGGAGGTGATCGTTTAAAATACGAGTTTAGCAGGCCTATAGATGTTGATGATTAAAATGTCCTCATAATATTACTTTGTCAACTACTGGCTCAACACTCTGTCAAGCACTGGTTATATCATTTTTTTTAGTGTCAACCACTGGGACATTTACAGCCCTAAATTTGTTAATGTTTTCTAAACTAATGTTACTGTTTTTTTCCAAGTTTATTACTCCTACATTGTTCTAAAAGCATTATATTGCCTATTTATTACATATGTTTTTGTATTTTTCAATAAATATATAATTTATATTCAAAAGTTGCATTTATTTTCCTTAAGGTGTCAACTAGTGGTACATTTACCTTAAATATACGAATATTCTGACAAAAGGCGCTACGGACAGATGACCTTTTCGTCGTTAAACACTCAAAATGATATTAAATAATTACAATATTTCATGTTTACTTGTACTGAATTACGTGTTTCAATTTAAAATTTTTGCAAATTTGGTAAAAATTGTTCTAAACAACTTTTTGTTCAAGTTGTATATTCATAAAAAAACATTTGGTTCATAATTATTTTTGATGATTGCCTATTTTTAATATAAACCTAGAAAAAATATGTTTTTGTTTTATTTTTTTTATTCGTCCCTTCAAATTGTGTTTCAAAAACTGTTACATAACATGTCTTCTAACAAATATTTTCATAATACAATATGTCTTCTAACAAATATTTTCATAATATAATTTCATAATATCTTATAAAGTGGGTTATACTAGAAATCAAATGTGTTTATGTTTATAAACTTTATTATTATTATTAAATTAATTTTCTAGCTGGTTTAATCATAAAATTCGCTCCGTAAAGTTTTATAAATTGTAGTTGTTTTACGAAGTGTTTTACTTCAAATTTAATATCGACAGATTCGTCGAAGTTTAAAGAATAATATAGTGATTATGAAATCAAGTAATTATTCCAAAATTTGTGCATGCAGTGCAGTTTTATTTTGAGGGATATTTACTCTAAAAATGTCCAAGTGTGGTTTTTGTGATTCCTCGGCGCGGAGGCCGATGATAACGTGTGGAGGAATTTGCCGGAAAAAATTTCACGCCGATTGTGCGTCGGTTTCACCTGAATGGATCAGCACCTTGAATTCTAATAATGGAATATACTGGAAGTGTCGTACATGCAGAAATTTCGAGTCTGATGTTATTGAAACTAAAATGAAAGATATGTTGCAGAGTAAGTGTGATGACTTAATGAAGAGTTTTGCTGATAAAATGAACGAAATGAAAAATGAAATTATTACTTCTACTTTAAATGCGGTTGGTTCAAAAGCTGATATTGCACCAGGTGGATCTAATGAACAACAGATCACTTACCCAAAATATTCAGAGATGGTTAAGTCGATCCCTTCTAGAAAGATTATTGTCAAACCGAGAAATCAGGACCAACCGAATTTGGTGACCAAGTTGGATATAATGCAGAAAATCGAATCAAATAGTATTACTGATATTGCATTTGAGAAAGTTAAGCCAGTTGCTAATGGTGGTTATGTGCTCAGTGCAAATCCCGATGTTGCATCAAGATTTCATTCTTTTGTCTCAGAGAAGCTGTCCGACAGATATGAAGTAAAAGAACTAAATGGTCCACAACCAGTGATTAAGATTGTTGGTCTTTCTAAACATTATGAAGAGAACAGCCTCATCAAGTTAATTAGTTTTCAGCAAAAGCATCTTATTGCCGATCAGGCCCAGTTGAAAGTTTTAAAAGTGTGGGCTACTAAACGTAATAAACATATATATCAAGCCAAACTGCAGGTTGACTCTGTCACGTTCAAGAATATGTTAGGGATCGGTAAGTTAAACGTAGGTTTAGACACCTGTACTATTTATGAATCCTTAGATATTTCTCGCTGTTTTCAATGTAATGGTTACAATCATACTTCTAAAAATTGCAAAAGTTCTCAGTGTTGTCCACTGTGCTCTGAGGAGCACACAGTTAAGGAATGTAAAGCTGATAAAATCCATTATAAGTGTAGTAACTGTTTTAATTTAAAAGAGAAACAAAAATTAAATATCGACATAAATCACGCTGCCTGGGACCACAGAAATTGTTATGTTTACAAGCAAATTTTGGAAAATGTTAAATCTGAGATACTACCATCTAAGTAGCAATTAGTGAATTTCATAGGGGAAACGGAGTATAGATCTGTGTCTGAACGGCGCGTACATTCTGATAATTATACTTGTCTTAGGAACAGATCTAAATATATTAAAAACAATACAAATAAAACGATTTCGGTCTATTACCAGAATGTGCGAGGCCTGCGAAGTAAAACAAATGAGATTTATAATGCAATTTTGTGTACGGACTTCGATATTATTGCCTTGAGTGAATCATGGTTAAACTCAGATATTTTAGATACGGAGTTGTTTGACGCTAGATATAATGTTTTCCGGAAAGATCCGAAATTATAAGCAATTGTCGTAGCAGGGGTGGTGGTGTGGTCTTAGCAGTTCGAAATATATTTTCGGTATCACAGATTGTTTTATCCGAACTTCCAATAAATATTGACGTCTTAGCCTTAAAAATTACGTCAAACTACTCTATATTTTGTGTTTTTATTGTATATATTCCACCTAATGCAAAATTTCAGATTATACTCAACTTTTTGAAACAATGTACGGATATGAAGCACTCTACAATTCTAATATTTTATTTATTGGAGATTTTAATTTACCTGATTTTGTTTATCAATCTAATTCTAACGAGAAACATTCTTCATTGATGGATTTTGCTAGTTTCTTTAACCTAATTCAATATAACGCTGTAGCTAATTATAATAACAGATTTCTCGATCTGGTTTTTGCAGATCCATCTTTAAAGTGCACAGTAAACAAAGCCCAAGACATTTTGTTGACTGAGGACGACCACCATCCGGCTCTTATCGTTTCTTTGGAAGCCGGTCAGTCCAGAAAGCCCAATGCTCAGAAATTTGATAACACATATTATAATTTTCGAAGAGCCAATTTTCCTGATCTTTATGGCTATTTTGCTGAGTGTAATTGGGATTTCTTGGATGAAATCTCTGACGTGGATGCTGCTTGCGAGCGATTTTATGGGGTGATCTATAATGGGTTGGATTTGTTTGTACCTAAAACGTCCAAACGTAAAAGAAATTATCCTCCGTGGTATGGTTCAGATATAATTAAGCTTATTAAACTTAAAAATAATACATGGAAGACGTATAAACAATCAAAACAGAATTTTCACTTGGTAAAATTTAAGGAGCTTAGAGCGCAAATTAAGCAAAATATTAGTAGAAACTATAGTATATATTGTAGAGACGTTGAGGGTGGTCTAACTACTAACCCCAAGCAGTTTTGGCAATTTATAAATAATAAAAGTAAGTCTCGGTCGTTTCCTGAACAAATGAAGTTTAATGATGTCGAACTCAATGATACAAAATCAATAGCAGATGCATTTGCAGACTTTTTCGATCGTCCTATATTGTATCAGGTAACGGTCATATTCGTGAAGGTAGCACTGAAATTAATTCTTCCTTTGGTGATATAACACTGAATCGGGTATCGAGAGAGATATCTTGCACTGCTTAAAAAAATGAAGCCCACCGGAGTGGTAGGACCCGATAAAAGAATACCCTCATTTCTGTTGAAAGATTGCGCAATAGTTTTTTCCTCCCCACTAACGAAATTATTTAATCTGTGCCTGAAGACAAATACGTTTCCTGTTATCTGGAAAACCTCAAAGATCATCCCAGTATTTAAAAAGAACGATAGAAATAATATTGAAAATTATAGACCTGTAACAATAATTTCTAATTTTTCCAAATGTTTAGAAATGGCTCTCTATGGCGCATTGGCGTTCCAGGTGGGAGGTAGAATTTCACCAAATCAGCATGGTTTTATAAGGGGTCGGTCGACGACAACTAATCTTTTAAGTATTACACAATTTATTGCTGACTCTATTGATACAAAGAGTCAGGTCGACGTTAATGTATACTGATTTTTCTAAAGCGTTTGACCGACTTGACCATGGGATCCTTCTTTACCATCTGGATCGGATTGGGTTTTCAGCTAACTTATTAATGTTGTTTGAGTCCTATTTAAAAAACAGATTGTTGAGGGTGGAGTATTGTGGCCAGAATTCGGTCGAACTGTGCGCTACTTCGGGTGTACCCCAGGGGTCTATTTTGGGACCGTTATTGTTTAACATTTTTATAAACGGTGTCACTGATATAATTGATTTAAGTGTCTTACTGTATGCAGACGACATGAAGATATTTTCCCGCATTGATTCGCCTCATGATTGTGAGCGGCTTCAGAGGTGTGTTGATCGATTAGTTGCATGGTGTTCATATAATAACTTACCATTGAACGTTGAAAAATGTAAAGTCATGTCTTATACCTTGAAATCGGAAACACAAAATTATAATTATTCTATCGGTGATACGATGATAGGTAGAGTATCTGTTTTTAAAGATTTGGGTGTCACATTTGACAGTAAACTATCTTTCGTTCAGCATATATCTGAAGTCGTTCAATCTTCGTTTAGGGCCTTGGGATTTATTGTGCGTAATACTAGAGATTTTAGCAATAGTAACACATTAAAACTACTCTATTATGCTTTTGTAAGATCAAAGCTAGAGTATGCATCAGTTGTATGGTCGCCGTTTTATGCGGCACATATTAATGCTCTCGAGCAGGTACAGCGTCGTTTTCTGAAATATCTGAGTTTAAAAACTGATGGGGTTTACCCGCAA